TCTCTCTCTCTCTCTCTCTCTCTCTCTCTATATATATATATATATATATATATATATATATATATAATATTTAAATAAATTTCTTGATATATGTATGATGTGTGTGTGTGTCTATGAAATATATTTTTTGAATATTTTTTCAAAAAACTTTTTGTTAGGTTCCAGTCTTGGACCTAAACTACGTCAAGTCCGAGTCCAAGTTATGGACCCAATGGGTCAGGTCTAGGACCAAATCCCTAGATATGAGTTGGGTTCAAGTCCAAGTCGAGGTCGACTCAGACCCGACTTGAACCATTCTCACTCTTAGTCCTATCCAGTGTTCGAAACTACTGCTCGAAGCTAGCCCGAGTAGTGTCGAGTACTATAGCAACAAAAAAAGGTTAAAAAATATAAAATAATCCAAAAAAATAGGAAATGTATGTTTGAAGGAAGATTAAGAAAAACACACCAACATGAGGTTAAAAAAGTAGTACAAATATATTTTAAAAAATTTACTTGCGACCGTGGTATTTTTGAAACAATCCAAAAAAGATGGGAAAATGTAAAAATGTGTATTTACAGCCAAAATATTTTTCAATGTTTGTTAAAATGATAGAAAACATAAAAAAATATTTTAAAAAATAAAAATATTCACAAAAAATTCTTTATTTTTTGAAATTTCTTTGAATTTCTTTTAATATTCCCGAATGAGACACCCAACTCGAGGAAACTCGGGCTCACCGCTGGCGTGACCGAGTAGCCACCATTAATAGCAATCCATTTTACAACGCTAATTTACTGCAAGACTAGGACATTAGGGAGTTTGAAGTAGTTGTCCTCAATAGCAACCGGTCACTCTGGGCAGAGGCTCCACGCTTCCACTCACTCAGCAAGATCACATCTATTGTTGACCAAAGTTCAAAGAAACGAATTTAAACCAATTGTTTAATACATTCAAAATTATAAGTTCAAATTTTGACCAACGTTCGGCTGGAAACCCTTGACGTTGGGAATTACCAACGAACTACGAACCACGTGTCGTTTGCTAATTTGTCTGGAACTCAGAGCTTATTTGGGCTTTGTTTTCTATACATTTCTCATTTTTGGACTCGCCTTGGCCAAAGTTGTGTACCTTGGGCAATTTTTAGTACATTCTTTTCCATTTTTATGCATAAAGTGTAACATATCTGTCATAACTGTCTTTAGGCTCAATTAAATTCACTAAAAATTGCATTCTAAAAGAGGGATCAAGCATGTTTCATTTAATCTCCACGGCACATCAACAAATTAGGACAAAAAGCCCAATGTACCTCCAAGTAATGTCTCATCAAATTTGGATTGAAATTCCGAGTATATATAAAAGGGTTGTGCCACCCGACTAGTTGGAAAAAGGTTTTTTTTGGATGAGTGAATGGGGATATCGGATCCCTATCCATTTTATTAAAGAATCAAAAGAAGTATTACATGAACATTTCTTATATCCTTGGCAAGGTAACACTAGCAACATTAAATAAAATAAAAGGCATTACAACATCAAGGGCCGTCGACCACGCTACACAATTATTTCATTTAAAGAGACTGCTGCTTTGGCCAAAGAGTCCGCAACCATATTGACGTTCCTATAAACGTGTTGAACCTTCCATTGCTGATGAGCAAAAGCCTTTGACGATGATGATACATAGGGGAGACAGTGAGCACCCAGAGTAATCACTCCCGCCTTTTGGGAGGAGGTTTGCCACAAATCAAGTAGTACTCCAATTCTGGGATCGAATCCGTAGAATTTGAAGGGTAGGGTTTTGGTGAGTCCCTACATTGTCCTTCTACCTTCCAAAAATTCATCTTGGAGATGAATCAAGTAAATATGCCGACCGCCCTTGTGAAGTTGAAAACACTAATGAAATTTGAGCCTTATAAACGGCCCAACAGGTAGCCTTTTTGGGACTTCAATTCTCCAATTTTCAAAAGATCTACAGTATTTTGGGAGCCACAAATTCATGGATTTGCAGAGAAGATGACCTGAATTCAGAACGTATTTCAGGTCCTAACCCTTTGAAAACAGGGAAGAGGCATCCGTTGGAGGCCTTAAAAAAAAAAATTGAAATTTGAGACAATGTTTATATACTAACACATACTTCCACAGTTGGATCAAAATCAAATGAAATGGGATCTTGTTAATTAATTAAAATTTTAAAAGGAATTATGTACTTGCACATCTTCCACCTCAGCTGGAACCCTCCCCTCCAAACCAAAGATAACGTGGCTACACAGCAGTCATAACCTAGCTGCTCTGGTCCACAGATACATGTAGGGTCCCTTGCACAGGCCGGTCTGCTTCGACCACCACCCGGTTCCCCTCCGCAATCCTGAGCGCATGGACGGGGAACCCTCCACCGGTCACCTGGAGTGTGTACTGTACATGTGACATCCTCCCTGGGAACAACAAAGCATCCGAGAAATCGACTGTCCACATTGTGCCATTCGTGCTTGCCGACCGCTTTGCAACTGTCGATCTTGCTGTCATCCCCTTTACATTGTTCCCATCCACCACCACCTGCTCCACTGTCCCAAACCGGGGACCCTTCGACTCGTCCAATTGGACAATGTCCAGAGGCTTCCCTGTCCCCGAAAACATGTTCCCGACGATGCTGACGCCCTTCGCCACCCCGTGCACTGAGCGCAAAAGCACGTAAGAGTTCCCTAGAAAAAAGCAATCTGCCACTCGGAGCTGGACGGGGTCCTCTGCGATGATTCCAGTATAATCAAAATACGAATTCACGATGCGAGTTTGAGTCAGACCGGGGAGACGCAGGTAGATACCAACACCACCCCATCCTGTGGCCTTGTTGTAGCAATGTACCCCGGAGAACGTGTTGGCCTGTCCAGAGACAAGAATGCCAACAGCAGCCGAGAAGATGACGACATCGGTGACAGCGTTGTCATTGCTCATTATGTTGATGCCGACGCCCGAGAAGTTACGCTCCCCTGGGTCACCACC